CGTTCTCGAGCTCATCGACGATCGTCTCTTCTTCGACGTCGTTCTGACGTTCCTAGTGTTTCAACGTTCCTTCCTGACGTCTGCATATCGTTCTGCAGTCACTATCGTACTTTTGGCGTTATCTTTAGATCACTAGCCAAATACCCGCAAGAATTCCTCATGCACTGCTTCTCTTTGTTCTCGTTCAACAACCAGACGTTCTTGAGTCTGATCGCTATCTATTCATTTTTTCCTAAACACAACAGCCATCAGCGATCACCGTTTCACCAAGGCATCTGTTGCCCTCATTCTGCAACCACCAATTGCAATTCCCATTCTACGTCGTCAATATTTGATGTCTGGTGTTAGCTCAGATATTTCTTTGACGCTTTTCGAAGTTGTGTTCGCCAGTGATCAGAGGGATATTGTTTCAGAAAAAGTACTAATTATAACAATTCTTCAGTATAACGTGATTAGTTGGACGCCATTCATTTTCGGTAAAGCGACCTTGTTTGTTGCTACCATATTTCATCAACTCTTATTATTCTACACTTTCCTTGAATAAGAGAATTGAAGTTAAGTAATGTCAAGTATTGTGGAAAAGCATAAGAACTTGAGCAGAGAAACATAAAGATAACTATATGCCAATTTTGTCATTTCATTACAAGGTCGTCACTTGAGTTCTTATCATACTAAATCCGCTTAGAAACTGATTTAATGAAAAAACACGCGCAAGATGTTCAGAGACAAGGCATCATCCACCTATGAACATTTCTTAAATTCCGGAAAAAAGACCTTCCGTTTTGTTTAACTGGTTGTGATTTTCAAGAATAATCATTCGGGATCAATGTACATTAATTCTGATGCGAAATTATTCATTCATGGCATTTTTCATTTCTACTTAGTCCGCTAATCAAGTCGACGAAAGAGAATTCAACACTAGTTGGTTTGTCATGACTGCCTTATCTATGCATAAAAATCATATCAGTCTTTCAACACCAGTTGCCGAATGTTGAAGAAAAACTAAACAAAAAAAGACGGAAGTGGGAGTAAGATGACATCACACACCATCCACTTTATTCCGTTTGCGGACTTAGTAATGTTGAATGTTTCTGATCATATATGTTTTGATCCTCTAACATCCTTCTTCTTCTTCCTCTTCCTCTTCTTCATTATTCCTTATTCTTCTTGTTCTTCTTTTTCTCCTTCATCTTCTTCTTCTCCTTCTTTTCCCCCTCCTCATCTTCCTCCGTCCCCTGTGTACTTAATGCGTTTGCATGCGTAATAAACCTTCATTCTTATAATTTTATCTGCGTTTTGTGTTTGCTGACCCTAAGTGACCGCTCCAAACATGAGCAAGATATCAGGCTGACCAACGTGCAGACAGTATGCCGTCGGCGGAACGCGTAGACGACGCGCGTGCTGGTCACACGTGAAAAACAATCTTCAGCCGAGCGCGCTACCTCGAATCGTACGCTCGTTGTCCGCGTCTCCGTTCATATACACATCAGCAGCACGTTCACTACACTCAGCGTTACGATGTCTACGTTTTGCACGACAATATTTGTGTTTCCTGTCGATTGTTTACTGGTTGCACTATGTTTCAATCAACAAAGAGGGAGGGGGGGGGGGGGGGGGGGGGGATTTTTATCGCGCAGACGTCGGACGTTGACCCACGTCCTTCGTGCCAGCCGTGTGCACGATTTCCTATTATTATGTGGTGTTGCAACAAAAATACTAAACAAACCAACAGAAAAACTGAGAAAAAGGCGTTGTTAGCAGTAAACACAAGTTTTTTTTTGCAAATCTTACAGGCTCTGAAGAAGGTGGAACCGCCGAAACGTCAACTTTTGCGAAAAAGTGGATACTGTAATGGCAACATCATGCTTACCCATGAAGAATACAAGGGATGCATTTTTTTTCTGATAATTGATATTGTTGAAGTAGCAGGAAGGTAATAAGTAGTAGTGTAGCATATGAAAGTAGAAACTACCGCATAGTCAGAAGACTTCATTCATTTAATAATTGGTTTCCTTGCAATGCACGATGTCACATTGCGAAGAATTTAACGGAAATGACCCTCGAAGACGAATTGAGATGGTGGATAGGGACGGTCGTGGATGGATTCATTTTACTGCTGCATTCAAATGGTACCACGTTCGCTTGCCGTCGTCTCCGTTGTCTCCATCATCTCCGTCGTTCAACGACACACACAAAGACGCATTTTTATCGGTGCAACCAACGTCCGACTAAAATCGACTCGAAAATTACCAGCGATAGTAGTTTGACGCACATACGGAATGATGAGTAACAGACGGAGATGAAAGATCTCCATTCCTATATTTTCACGCTAATTAAGTTGTTAAATGTGTCTATACACGCATACATATACATACATCTACACCATATTTATTCAAGCATACACATATAAATATTCACGTATGTAAAATGAATTGACATTAAATGATACAATGGAATTCGCTTCATATGTGCCTGTATTTGACTTTTTTACACACCTCAATGTCATATCGTCGTTGCAATGCGGTTTATGTACAACAGAACAGAAGGTATTCAAATGTCGTGCACTTCTCGTCTTGTCTTCTTTTTTGTCTTCGAGAGTTTTTGAACTCTTTTTAAAGCTCTTTTTATTGTTCGTCCTTTTTTCTGATTTTCATCTGATACTAATGTGCCATATGTCAGGGGCTCTATGGGTTCCACTTAATCAGTACTGTAGATAAATTATGATTTAATCTCAACTCCAGATGAACAGATTGATTTCATAGTTAGATCGAGAGAACGACTTTCCATTAACTATTTCGAGTATTCGGTATTCGCAGTGCTTAAATTCTACAGCTTATTGTTTTTTTAATGATAAATAAAACCACACTGGTGCTGAGATATTTGCAAAACTCAGACCTCCAGATTCGAACTGATGATTAACCTTTTCGGGACTCACGTCCTATGCGCGACACCAACCGAGTCTATTGCTTTACCTTTCTCTTTCTTTTTTTTGTTACAACAGTGTTAAACGGAAACTGTCTATTTCGAATGTTAATTAACTTATATCACCTCATGAACTCTCCGTTTTCGAGCTGACTAGAGGTGGCCAACACGTATTTTGATGTTCAGGAACTGACCTTTTGGCGACCTCTTTTCCTTCAGATGTGTTGTTATGTAGCCTTATCTTTGTTATTCACTGAATACTTTATAGTCCTAATTAAGAAGAAAACTAATTCGTACCTAAAACCAAATACCTATTTGCCAATAACTACTCATTCAGATCAGAAAATTAATGTGAGATAAGGCGTTAAGTCACGTGCAATAGCAGGGCATTCTTCTGTCTGGACCACTTTGTTTCCGCTTAAAGAAACAACAGGATGAAAAGTTGACAATCCATAGGGTCAAAAGAGCCTGAAGGCAAAGCAGTGGTGATTTCGAAAAGGCAGTCACGATTCTTGCGCAGGGTTCGAAAACATCAACGCGCAGATCCTTGAAGCAATTTGGACAAAACGTAAGAATCCAGAAATCAATTAGAAGTACGAGTGCCTCACTATCATAAATGTCTTAGCGTTTTACCTCAGATTGATTTAAGGTTCAGTGTTCATTGTTTGTGAACCACATGCCTATTGTCTCGCTCACCAAGGACGAAAATGATGAGTATTTTTTGACAAACAAATGTTTATTTCGATTCATACATTAGCTTTTCTTGTTGTAGCTATAGAGTTTTCAGCAAATAACAATGATACAGCTATATAACAGTGCTTTTGAAGAATGCCAAATCGGCGAGACATTAATTGCCTAACATCGAAATGTGTTAGCGACCTCTCATCAGTTCAAAAAGAGGGAGCTCGATCTAGTAGTTATGTAGATGGACTGGAATTCACTGCATATTTTAATGTTCGCATTATTCTTTTTGATTAAGCGCATTCTATTGTGAAAACTACATAAAAAGCCGTATATAACAATACGTTGCAGTACGGCATATCGGACAGTGCAAATACCGTTGTCATGTGCTTTAAGAAAGCGCAATGAAGTTTATACTGGACATTTTACGACCCATATACACATATTTAAGCTTTAAGTCAAATGCTCATATCTTTCATTTTTTCTGCCTCTAACAGGACTGCTGAAGACGAAACCATTTCGATGAAGTTCTTCTTACAGTGGTATCACAGCACGCGATCCTCTCCGACATTCAATCCGTTCCCGAATTTCTTAACAAACTTCCCTAAGAACAGAAGAAACTTCTCTAGAAGCAACGATAGCGTTTAAATCCGTACCAGAACTTGGTGATGACCATTGTGTCTGGTATACTGGTAATCGTGGCCTTTTTCTCTTTGTTCACGATATATCGTAAAAATGTTCGCAATCCAATGACGATGATATATGCACGTCGTGACCGTACGTAGATTCTTATATTTTTCTCCCTTATTTTTTGATCTTATCGATATGATAGTAGAATATTCACAGTATGGATAACTCATACATGTACTCAGCATCGATTGGGATTGATCTTAGACAAACCAATGTGGTTGGTTGTTTTCGTTGACTCTCAATGTTATTGTTGTATGAGCTATGCTTAGAAACCAGTGTTCTAAGAAATTGAAACCAATTTGAGTTACATTAGCGAATTTGGCTGCAACAATGCTAAATATAGACTTTGTTGCACTTTCTTTCCAGTTTATCGTTTTCTATACCTCGATTTCTTACACTAATAAGTTCGACAAAATGTGAAGTACGATGAGTATCTATAAGTATATACAGATAAATATATAGTGTATACAAGCATAGAACATGTAGTATGGCATTCGTATACGGTAGACAAAGTGCAGCAAGTAATAAGTATATAAAATAATGGGTTCGACTATTGATTATCTACTAAGGAGCTACAAGAGTAACGTAGGCGACGTCATATAGCTAGTCACTTGCAGCAATTTTTCGAAGTGTTCTTTTATAGTATTTGCAATATTTTATATAGTTCCGTCCTAGCACTCATTAATTTTATGTGTACTAGTATAGTAATGGATGACTCTAATACAGCACTGCCGGAGATTATTCCACAAATGAATATCCCATGTGAGATGAATTTTTGGTCCTCTCGAATCCTCCTAATGTCGGCCCAGCATCTAGTACTCGAGATGACGTTGACAATGCGGAAGAAACGAATTGTCTCGAATTTGCATACGCGGTCGAAAAAGCCTCCGTTTCGACTTGCGTTCAGTCATGCATCACGTCGCGGATCGCCTTCGCGTCGTGTCGCATCACGTCGTATCGCGTCGTATCTCGTCGCGTTGCATCGCGCTCCAACACACAACTCATCGCGGGCGGCGATTCTTGCACGTTCCTGCGACGTCTTTGCAGCCGCTAGGAAACATCTGGTTAGTGGTCGTTGTCGAGCCGATTTTTCAACATCCCGCTGACCATTTCGACCGACCGACCGACCGGCTGGCCAGCCTTCGCCTTTTCACCATTTCTTCATCTCGTATCCCAACTATACCATATATTGATTTGCATAGCACGATTGTTGTTGATTTTCTCTGTTAAAAATCGTCTTTTAAACATCAATAGCTGGACGCTTGACAACGAAGATTTCTCGTATACACAAAAATATTGCAGACGGGCGCAAAAGTGTAAGTCGATGAAAACACGAATGAGTGGCGTGAAGGGGCAGGAGGAGAGGAAAAAAACAGCGAGACCGAAAACACTATGGTCGCCCTACTGATGTACTATAGACAATCGATCTGTGTCACGAAATGATAATGGCCCATCCGTTTGATGACAACAACTATAACTCATCATCAGTGTTATGTGTATAAGTTATTTGGTGAGAATACCGTATTTCGTTAGTCATGTGAGATTCATGGAAACCATTCCGTTCGATGGCTCACGATGTGTTACACGAATGCAAGGTGAAATTTTTCAAAAACAACTATTGCTGTTATGAAATTATGAAGACCGTTGGTGGGTGTTCGAAAATGTCCGGACGGCTATGGTAAAACGACAGTTATCATAAACAAAAAAGCAGTTACTAGAATATGGTAATGCTTCAAAAGAGAGGTTACTGAAGACGACTATCATCGGCATGGTTTGCGCCATCGACATTGTAACCTGCAATGTTGACTACCTTTCCCATTGCACTTTAAGGTCTTTTCAGACATTCCCTAATTCTGTAGCCTAAATTTTTGCTCAAATCCCTACCTTTCTGAATTGTTGCGGAAACGTCAACCACTCGTTTACTAAGACTGCACTAAAATGGCTGCGCATTTATATGTGAGTACGTATACACGTTGCTATTTTTCTTCTCGTTCCGTTAACTCATACCCATTACTGAGTGATATTTTTGCATAAATCAGACTTCAGGTGAGGTATATGCGGTTGGGACCAGTTAGGTATGGCACAGTGTGACGACTCAACGCAACCGCCAACAAGTTGGAATCGAGACCCTCTAAGGGAACAACTGGCCCATCTTGCCACTCATACACCAATTCAGGTTCAGTTTGCATCTTCAGCAAAAGTCTTACGAAAACTGCAAACCTTTTCCTTGAATTTTAACAGATTTTTTGTGTCACGTGGCCCGTATTATAATGTTCTCTATTTCACAGAACGTTTTGATGCGCAATAACCTGCATGTAATGCAATAAGCTAGTACATAATATAATCAAGTAGCATTTTGAATGGGTGCTACTGTAGGTGGTTGTTTCCGTTTTTGCTCACGACCATTCAGTTTTTTCATACATGCATGCATACACATTCACACATCTATATAGACACAAACACACACGCATACACACACGCACACACAAACACACACATACATACGCACACATATGTACATATATATATATACATATATATATATATATAT